CATTGTATTCTCGTCCTCAAAAGACAGAAAACCTCGAAATACATCCGCAAAAAACGATATTCGAAGCCGCAACTACAGGTATAATATTTCTCAGTTCATAACTTCACACACTGAGTCACACTCGAGCAAATTCTCTACAAAAATTGTTGGGTTTAACTGTGGTACAATGTATTATATTTTAGCTACAAGTATGTAAAGGTCTCTAAAGCCTTGTTGTACAAAGTAATAAACTTTCGTTTCATTTAAATCGTGAGCAAAATGGTATTTTGATCTATTGTTTACATGCTCTATTTGTTGCATTATTTTATGTTTTGAATAAGCCTGCAGTTTGTATTTCATGATACTATTTTGAAAATTTATAATTTTCTGTAGGTGGCAAGAAACTGTGCATTTTACAAACATCAAATTATCTTAATTTGACCCTGGGGACTGATTTTATGACATGAAAGTACAGTATAATGTGAGCAGTACCACAATATTTTGAGGGAATAACAAAGAGAATTTATAGTTGTTTGTGTGATGTTACTCTGAGTGTATATCCACACCGAGCAGGCTTGAAAAATATGCCTGGCCACGGTGGGATATTTTCAGGTGAATATGATGGGCCAGGCATATTTTTCAAGCCTGCTCGGTGTGGATATACACTCAGAGTTTAAACATCACACAAACCTGAGTACATCACACCAACACAGCAGATTTCAGAATTTATAGTATTTTATATTTTGTACTAATTTATATGCAAAAGCTAGAGGTACTCAAGGAAGCTCATTCTGCTGTCGGAGTACCTTAAGGAGTTTTGAATCACTATGATTGTAGTTCTTGGGTGGGGGTTCGAACTAGTTAGTGTAGGATGATGCAACTGTAGCTAAACCTAAGACAAATATTAACCTCGACATTTCAGCCGAAGAGCTTGGGGCCTTTATATTAGTTCATATTTTTTAGGTTTTGGTGTACATACACATAGGATTATGGTTTCCGTAACTTGGGGGTCACTCGACTTGCCAACAAATTAAGTTCGAGCATCGTCTGAAAACCTAGTATATTTCTTTTGTATTCCTCATTTTCCCTTGATATGATTTCTCATGCTTTTTCTCTTTTAGAATAACCTATATAATCTATTCTTGTTTATTCCAGAATTATCTACCACAATGATGCAGTTGAAATTGTATTATTTTAATTTAAATTCTTCAATGAATAATTATTAACTACCAATCACCAATGATTCATTCCAGAAAAGATAAACACTAACCCCACAGAAGGAAATGGTGCTGTCTGAAGTGGGCAGAACTCAACTGCAGATAATAGTAAAAGTATTAGCTAAGGGTATCCAAAAGTGGGAGGAAGCTGAACCTCCCATCTCTTCCATTAGGGGTGTGGATATTTTCTTGAATGACCCAATCATTTTGAACTAACTGTATAATCAAGTTATTCTAGTATAATTATCACTTTGTAGTCCCATGAGCTGATGAGCTGTGACATCACTTTGGCTGTCTGGCATGTTTATCTCTTTTCAATTTTCTTTTGGTAGCGATAACAGATTACTACTACAGATACTGTATTACTACACATTGTTACACCCAAATAAGATCATACACATCAATGTTAACTATCATGATACAATACATCTGTTACAGCAAGAACATTTTTGCTTCAGTTCTTGTATATCACTTTGATGCCTGTAATAGAAATGAGAAATAAAGTTACTTTGTTTATGATTGTTTTGTTCTATGGTGTGAAACTGTACATTTCAAAATTAATTGCAATGGGTGCATACTGTAGGTTCTGGCCAGTTAGCTCAGACCACCACCCCTACTTTGCAAGTTACAGCTGTGGCTGGATTGGAACTGTTAGCTCTGGTGCACCACTAATCTTGTATAAATCTGAATAACCCATTGAGTCGCATTGCACCCTGATGCGACCCTCTTTCGTATTTTACTCTGTCTAACGCCAGACGATTTTACTCGTCAAGGGGAGAGCGCTGGCACTTAATGAGTTAAACGCCATCGCTCTCCCCAGTTGATGAGTAAAATTATCTGGTGTTAATAAAGTAGGGTGCAATGTGACTCAATGGGTTAGCCTCTAAGTGACCTAAATAAATATGGCTTTGTCTAAACATAAATCAAGACTCCCATGAAAGAGGTATTTTCTGAGTGAAGGAGGTTTTTTGTTTGGAGATTTTTATGAGGCATAGAGGTTGACCCGGCATACTAGCATTCAAGGTAATGCCAATGCAAGAATAATATAAGTATAAATCATGCAAATTTGGGTATGCACAAGTTGATGTCTCGATGATAGCTCGATGCTGACTGAAATGTAGTGCACAACCCCACAAGAAAAGCCTAACTACACAGCCAATTGGTAAATGCTGATACAAAACCTAGCAAGTAGCAGGACTAGCAGTTTGTAATATTTGTGAAGGATACAATACAGCTTGTTTATACTGTATACAATCTAGTGCTAACTGCTCTTTATTAAACAAAGCAAACTACAGTACAGATTGCATGAGCTGCTATTTAAACTAATAAATGGCACTAAAAACAAAAGTCACTAAAAACTGGCACTAAAAACAAAAGTCAGTGGCTGAAACTAGAAACAAAATGTATGTACACAATGTATAAATAACCATGTACAACGTTTATTTATGTCTGCTCCAGAAATATTGGTGTAAATATAAAATATAAGTGTTTGACAAATACATATTTATACCTCGATTTTTAATATAGTACGCATATCGGCCCCTGACTTTGCCAATCGAGAATTAGTCGAATAAAAGGTAAAAACTTAAAATTTTCACTAATCTTACCTTTCAGAAGAAATATTCTTCCTTTTAAAGTCTTTACAGCGAATTTTTGCATCCACAGGCAGAGAAAAACGGCATGATTTTGTCTTGAAAACATAAAATATTTGTGCAAAAACAGGGGGGCGAAGGTCTTTGTCGGATGCTTAGGATCGCGGTTGGTCAGTGGTAAATGCCATGAGCCGGAGGAACCATATGGCGTCAGCAAACGTGAAAATCCGCCATGTTTTTGCGGACACTTTTTTGACTGACGAGAGATAGGAGCACCTCCTCCAGTAATATTATAGCTCAGTGGTGGGGACCGAGAATGACCAATCGACCAATGGACAGACCCCTTACAGAGGCACGCATCTAAAAAGCAAAACTCAATCAAATCCCTAAAACGAAAATCTAACAATATCAAAACAAATTCAAAATTCGATAGGGAAAGCTAGTTTGTAGAGAGAAAAAACTTGATCAAGAGGAAATTGTCTAAACTCGACGTCGAGAGGAAACGTTCATATTTATTTTTCAACTACAGTAAGTCGATGTTTCGCGTTCTCATATGTTTTGAATATATAAAGCAACGACTTCCCAATGATATAAGTTTTTTTTAGGAAGACGTATTAAGTCTTAGCTTGTGACCTCCCTCGTGATATTTAAATCTCATACTGCAGTAAGTTCAAACGGGGCAGGATGAATTCGTACTCAAATTTGTCCAGCTCTACATGTTCACACGAACTGGATTAATTACAAGAAGAAAAGTGTTCACACGGAACTGGATGATTCTTGACACCACGTTCGCAAGGCAAATTTCAGTAAGGGTGGCGCATGCGCAGATATTTTTCCGCGGTGTTGGATGAATTATAACCACTGATTGTAATGAATTGTAGTCCTGGAAATATTTATGTACGCATGCGCAGATGATTTCAGTCAGTCTCAATCACAGTCCAAATTCACAGTCCTTTTCAATCCTCTACCATGCAAAATGCTCTTCATAAAGACCGGTTCCGCTGTTCACATGGCGCTATCTGATTCAGGAGCCATGCATTCCGGTACAAAACGAGACCTATTTGTTCTCAAATTTCATTTGTTCTCAAATCCGTACGGTTAGTTGTGCTGGAATTTCCGGTTTCATGCGTCCCGTGTGAATGCAAGGCGAAATTGAGTACAAATCGCAATTGCGAATATCCAACAACCAAGTCCACTGAAATATCTCGACATGAGTAATGACATGGAAATCACATTTTTCAAACCTGCGTGCAAACAGGAGGAATTAAAGGCGCCAAAGCTGGATGCTTTCAAGAAACATTTCCCTAATCAATCTAATTTAATCAATCCTAATGACAGAAGAGTTTAGAATAGCTGCACTACATCACAACAGAGGAAAAGACGTACTTCTTTTTCAGAATAAAGAGATCGAGCCACAATATCTAACAATTGTTGAGTCTCTGCTTGAAAACTGTGCTTGTCACTTGGTCCTGTATGGAAATAAAACAAGAATTTTATATTTTACAAGCTCCTAATGTGTATAAATGTAAAAAGATTTATTTCACTGGAATACAATCAATGTCGCTATATTCAGAGTCAATAACAAAAAATCATAAAAAAATATGGCAGAATTTTACAAACCTGATATAGATTCAGTTTCCTGAATAACATGAACAAATTCTTGATCTTCGTCCACGCTATTTTTGATCTCAGACTAGAAAATTAAGTCAGGAAAACATGATTATGACTCAGTATGTTTGGGCCAATATATCCACATGTTAACCCATTGAGTGGCAGCACTCTCCCCCTGATGAGTGAAATTGTCTGACGTTAGACAGAGTAAAATAATAAAGTAGGGTGCATCTGAGCGCATTGCCACTTAAAGGGTTAATATTTACACGAACAGTACAGGAGATAATGAAAACCATTAATTATAAATCAGTCAGATAGCTCAATTAAAACACTTGCATACCTGTACTGGTTCCTCAGAAGATGTGGAAGACCATCTTACTGTTGGAAACTGAACACCTTCATTTAGCCCTAAATTAAAGACAAATGAAAGAGTGTGCTATATGCTGATGCTTGAGATACACTGAGTGTATATCCACACCGGGCAGGCTTGAATAATATGCCATGCCACGGTGGGAATTGAACCTACGAGTCTACGACCTTTGGAATACTAGCCCAACGCTCTGCCAACTGAGCTACGCGGTCAGGTCGGTTCGAGTATGTGATATTTCGGAACTGAGTCTAGTTCCTTCGATATCAATGTAATCTAGTAATCCTGCATGATAATTTGTCAAATGTAATCTAGTAATCATGATGATTTATCATGATTACTAGATTACATTGATATCGAAGGAACTAGACTCAGTTCCGAAATATCACATACTCGAACCGACCTGACCGCGTAGCTCAGTTGGCAGAGCATTGGGCTGGTATTCCAAAGGTCGTAGGTTCGATTCCCACCGTGGCTAGGCATATTTTTCAAGCTTGCCCGGTGTGCATATACACTCAGAGTAGCATCACAAGCATCTTATTCACCTGAGTAAATTACACCAACACAGAAAATATCACGAGTGTGATATATTTAACTATCAAGATTTTTAGGCATCTCATTCGATCGAACTAACAGTTGAAGGGTTTTTTTAAATTGAAATTTCGAGCGAAAGATTATAATATAGAATTTTGGACTTAACCAGGAGCAGCTGCAATAAATGCAACTACTGTATACCTGCCTCGTCCGCAGGCGCTTTGCCTTTGGGAGCATTTCGGGCAGATTCGGAATGCGGGTTACAGGCGAAACCTTCGTCTTTTACTTATGTTTCTATTTAATATCTACTTAATTTGCATTGCCCGCAAATTTGCCCAGAAAAGGGCCTGCGGAGGAGATAGCAACTATACTGTAGGTCCCTCTGGCAGGAATCAAACCTACAGCGCTCTATAATCAACTAAGCTGCATAGGGCAGTTGTCAAGCTCTAACTGCAATTAGTATCTTGGGTGAGGTTGTTCAAAGCTTGGTCAGTGCTAATCCTGGCTTAAATTTAACCCACTGTTTTGGTTTCTGCATGTCTTTTAATTTCAAAACCGTTTGACACCAACTAACAGCAAAAAATTGGCGGAAATTTTGTCTCCGATTGCTCGGCTGCCAGCCGGGCTGTACTATAGTATACTATTCGTTCAAAAATGCACACATTTTGTAGACTGGTTCTATAAATAAATGTAAACTTTCATAAGCAGAAAACCACCAAAATTACATTAAATTTTCCCAAGATCATCGAACTGCATCTAAATTCAATGCTCGAGCACTTCTATCATGAGCCCCTGGCTTGAATGATTGGGCATCCAGCAACACTCCATGTCATTTGACATTAAATAAATTATTCTATTCTATTCTATGCGACAGGTAAATAAACAAGAGGAAAAACAATTACGGCAAAGAAATTAGTTGCGCTCACTCTGAGATTCCAACTCACAACCTTTGCCTATACTCCGAGTGGTTTTCTACAGTGGCCCACAAGGGACATGCTGCAAATAAAAGAATTACCGTACTGCAAATATGTTAAAATTCGTTCAAATATAATAAATATTCTGCAAATACAGTATATTATAATTGCAGCAATTATATTAACATTGCTGCAGATTAAAATAGAGTTGCTGCAAATTAAAAATTTTGCTGCAAATTAAAAATAAAGTTGCTGCAAATTAAAATAAAGTCGCTGCAAATTTGGCTTCGAGCCGAGCGTTCCAGTTACATTTCAGTTCAAGAAAAAGTCGTGAACATTTTGATTTCTGAATTTTTTTGAAATTCTCAAATTCAACGACAAAGTCAAAGATAGATGTTTTGCAATTATAATATATTTGCAGAATATTTAATTATTATAATATTTGAACGAATTTTAACATATTTGCAGTACCGGCCAGTTCTTTTATTTGCAGCACCTTGTGGGCCACCGTAGTTTTCTGCTTATGAAAACATTTTAGAAGCAGTCTCTGAAATGTGTGCATTTTTTGAACGAATAGTATACTATAGTACAGTCCGCTGGCAGCCAAGCAATTGGAGACATATTTTTGGCTGTCAGCTGGTGTCAAACACACTAATTGGGTGCTCAACCAGTCAGGATTTCCAGAAAAAAATTCAATTTATTTTAATTATTAATTTGATCTTATTTTTTTTATTTTTAAAAATTTTCCCCATGTACAATAAATTTATGTGTAGTATATTTACAATGGTAGAGTGCGGACTAGAGATCTACTAGAAATCTTCATAGATAAATTCAGACATTCCAACTACTCGAGGTAAAATTTAGGGAGACTGTGCAGTGAATTGAAATCTTGTTCTTCTGTGAAAAAAAATTTAAAAATTAAGTCTTCTGAAATGGCATTTCCTGCATTTGGGAAGATGTTGTTATAAGTGATCCTATAAATTGTCATAAAGTAATTTCATAAAAAGGTCAAAACAGACTATTATGTTGCTAAAAACAGTATGTTTGTGATTTTTTTATGATATTTCCCAAATATTCTGGAAAATCAGGAGAATTTGATAAAAATCGGGAGACCAGGAGATTGTATGAATTTCCGGGAGACTCCCGGTTTCGGGAGAGTTGGAATGTCTGTAAATTTGTTTGAGCATCAGTGCCTTTTTTAACTATATATCTGGGGGGGGGGGGATTGCCCCCAGGGAGAGAATTTCCCCCCCCCCCCTCCAGTAAAGCCATTTCTGCCCCCGAAGTGCGAAGCAGAATTGCTTATGATTGCTGTCAGAATTGCAGTTGATTTACTTGATAATGAGATTATGCCCTTCCATAGCCTCCTCCACAGCCATCTTGTGTGTAATTCATATTGTTCTTCACCGAGTATTTCATAATAGCGATAGATTTCATGCAAACAATCCGATAAAATGCTAGCCTTTCCAAGCCTTGCGACTATTTCCTAGCACTCTCCTCCGCAGAAGCGTTGTGTTTTGTTTTGGGAGGTTTTATTGCAAAATTGTTTTCTTAAAAATATCAAGTTATATTAAGATCCTTCCCCCAATCGCCACAAAAACCATTCTCTCAGAAAGTACACGTTACATGCTCGAAGCTGAAACTGATTAAGTTTGTCTCGACTGAGGAAAAAGACGATATACTGGAGGAACTTGATTTGTGAAATATCGTTAAAGCAGTTGTAGATATGGTTCCAAGAAGAATAGATTTAGTTTAGATTTTTAACTGTTAAATACATGTATGCATCATCATAGCATGAATATTTCTTCTCAGACTTATTCTGTATCGTATGAAAAAGCAACGCAATTTTGAGAATGCGGAAATGGTGTCTCATATAACCTAAAATGATTTAAATGCAACATTTCTGATCAAAATCACATTGGGATCCCCCCCCCGGCATCACAGAGAGGAAATAAGGTGACACTGACCCCTACTCCTATTTTTCAAGGTGACTTTTCCAATTTATTTAATTCCGAGTAGAAATGTCTGGAAATATTCTTGTCTTCGATGTACTTTATAATCTTCGGAATTCTGCAAGATTTAACCCCCAAAATCATGCATGAAATCGCAATTCAGGGACCCTAGATTTCATAATTTTCCGGACCTCGGACCCTCCTAGACGGTCTCACAGGTTCGCCCCCGCAAAATTAAGGTTTGGCTACGCCACTGGTTATAGCTGTACGATTATAGCTACAAAGAGTTGAAGTTATTGTTTAAAGTAAAATATAGCTGAAGTTAATAAATTAAAGTTTTACAAAATCTCTCTTCAGACTCGCGCGTTCGCCAAACCCATAGAAATAATAGACATTAATAATAGACATATGTCTATTATTTCTATGGCCAAACCTCGACGGCTCATATTTTTCGTTCGGCCTTTTTTCCTGTTTTGCCCCCCCCCCAGTGAAAATTCCTTAAAAAAGGCACTGTTACTTATTCTTAAAGAAATCCAACGTATGTTTTAATATGTGGTAATTTTCTAACGAAAATATCTACAGCCAGGCCTCTCCTAATTAACTGGACTTTAACATATATTTTAGTACAATTATTGTACTAAAATTCACAATTTACAATATTTTCTGGATGCTGAAATTTCCATAGTCATAGAATTTCCATCATTTAAAAAAAAGTCGTCAAGTTTAGATTAGTGTCAGATTTGAGATCAAGGTTAGAGTCGGGATTAGTTTAGGGTTAGGGTTCAGTTAATTTTCTTTAGGTATATGACACCTATTTTTACGAATTTTACCGTATATATGCGTTAATTACGTTTTAATTAGCAGATCACGTGACCAGCTCCTGCGGGCGTCCATAATGAATAGAACACGATCAGATGACTCAGTCGGAACTGTTCTGGCTGCCCCAACTTCAAAGTTGGGGCAGATAGAACAGAACACGTGACACTGCACATTTTCACGTGATTGGAAATGGAGGCGACAGAGTAAAAACGTTGCAAAAGCACGCTTAGATATACAAATAACAGCAAATCATTATACGATTTATTATGCGAATAACAAATGAATATAGTAATGCATGGTTGCACGCATATATAATAAACTAAACACTGTTCCAGAACACCGTGTGCACTTCATTTTATGATTGATCCAGAACAGTGTTCCAAATGTTCTAGACCAGTAAATGGGAACAACCTCTATTATAGTTGACATATCGTCATCCGACTCCATATGACATGTGTTCTCTTTATAGGCACTTAGTGCCGCTTGGATACATGCATATATTAGTTTTGACAACGGACACAGACTTATTAGTTTTTTGTGTTTTAAAACTAACATGTGTATAATGACAAGAAACTGTATACAAACAAATGTTCTTAAAGTTTTGTCTCATTTTGCTTCCTACGTAAACCACTTCTTGGTGCTATGTAACAGTTAAATGCGTTAGACAAAGCTGACTTGAGAAAGCTAATTCTACTTAGACACCGTTTCTTTTTTATTTTCCTGATCTTAATGCATCAATAAAGGTCATCTAAATTCTAGAAAATAGACCACTTATTACTTATCATCTGATTAAATACAATCATATACTGATGACAATGACATAAACAGTTTCCAGACCCCGGGGTCGATCATGTTGGTATTTACTCTACAGTCACCATATACCAGGAAATAACTTTGGTGTTTTGGCCTTGTACGCTTGGAAAACTGGATCATTTGACCATCTTCGTTTGGCTTGGGGTTCTTGTAGTGGAATGCCGGTCCCTTTCGTTAAGAGAAGAAGGACAAAGAGTGGGGATGCAATACTGAGATACTGCCAGCCTTGCATGATGGATGATGCAGGTAGGTACAGACCAAACCACAACAATATTTCACCAAGATAGTTAGGATAACGAACGATGCTCCATAATCCAGTTGTGATGAATTTCTTATGATTCGCTGGATTACTTCTAAATATGGTCTTCTGGTAGTCAGCAATCACTTCAATACAGAATCCTGCAGTCCAAATAAACCAGCCTGCATAGTCTTTCAGGGTTAATGGG